GTGTGAATTCCTTCAATTTCAATTTAATGATATTTTCTGGAAGAAATTTCACTCTAGTGCAATTCGATGGAGTCGGCGAGAAAGAGTAAGCAGTCGATCGGCCTAAAGTGAAGTCCAAATGCCCATGCTGGAGCTTGTATAACTCATGGTTGCGCAGCTCGATGTCCTCCGATGTGTTTGTGGTATAGCTTAATTTATCTAACAGTAGAGTTCGTATTTAGGATTAATAGAGGGTTGAACCAGAAAATCAAATATATTTAACTACCAAAATTATTTAGCAAATTTTTAAGAGGACGAAATTAAAAATAATATTCACACTTACCTGGAATGAAAATAGCTGTTGTTTCAGGCGTCGTATCCGCTAAAACGCCAAGAACATGCCACGGATCAATAGAACCATTCAGCAGAATAATATTTGGTCTCTAAATTAAATGGACGTGGTGAATATGGTGAATTAAGGCGGTATTTTGTGAAACAAAAAGTATTTACTTTATGTAGTTGCAAATGTGCAACCATCACAAGTTCAGTCTTGCAACGAATCAGCATCTCCACTAAGCTTAGTTGGTTTACAGCGTTTTATCTGCTCCTACAGCGGTTGATCTGCCCCTATTGTTGTATACAGAGGCATTACCTTTCACACACAAAGTAGTTTAATGCTTTCAGATTGCAGATTCATGCTGAAGTAGTAGAAGAATATGAGGTGAAACCTGAGAACAGATCAAAATCTTTTAACATAGCTGTATCCTCTCTTTTTATAAATGCCCGTTTTTTCTTCTACCTGTAGCCTCGCCAAAATTTAGAAACATCAAATGTCACAGTGGCCTCCAAGTCTGGACTTTCGTTCACGATTGACCGCTGTTTAGCTTGACTCTTCTCACGCAGGTTTAGCGTTGCAATGTCAAGCTTTCTAGTTTGCTGCTCTAAAAGAAGAACGAGTGACATTCGTTTTTCTCCATTCTAGTGCCACGCAACCATCCACGTGTTGGAAACTGCACTGCTGTGATATTATTATGAAACAATTATACCTTTTCCCATATTGAAAAAATAGCGCAAAACAGGGTTTACGTATACACAGCGCAAAAGATGCTGTGGTCAGTCCGGTGACTGACCAATACCTAATACTGGTGCATAAGTAATTCGTGTTTGACGCTGTTTTTTCAGTATAACCACCGACGCACGAACGAATCATTTTTTTGAATTTATCCATTTTGAATGCATTGTTTAAATTTGGTGTCGTTCGATCCCATCAATTTTTCTCTTCAGAATGCACTGTTCATGCATCATTTTGTGATGTAATATAAATCAGTGGATATTTTGTTTTATGGTGCCGTACATATGTTCCTCTTCCTTTCATTTTCAATGATGATGTAATGCTTGCTTCGATATGCAACGTATGATGAACAGAAGTACCATAACTACGTCACATAGCCATTTTATATCGTGAGGTGTAGTGAATGAATTGGCTGAAAAATCCATTAATGATTTTGTTTGCTATAATCGTAGCCAGTCTCTTTCTGACGAATGGTTTCTCTGAAAGAGCTGTGGCTTTTCTAGCAACAACATCTGGCAGCTTTGAGTAGTGAGACGACAGAGCATTCAGGCATTGTATTCATATGCTTTCTACCTTGTTCACTCATTTAGTCAGACGAACGTACGTTATGTCAGTGTCGACATAGAGCAGTCAAATTTCATCAGCCTATTAATCAAAGAATTGCTGGACATTTTGAATTAAAGTATCGAAAATATGAACATGTGACGAATGTTTGAACTCATTTACTGAGTGACATTTGAAATTTCATCAGTCTGCTTGTTCACAAGATCAATGAAACAACGAATCCTGCCATTGAAATGTTCTGCAACTGTTTTGCTGCACAACGTGCAGTTAAATTTATTTTTACTTTGAAGCGGACACCATTGTGCGATGCTAAACTGCGTTGATAAACAAAGAAATTAACGTCATCCAACTGAACTGTTGCTTTGAACCATGAATCAAGAAAAGAAAAGTAATGACCGTTATTCAGACAAGCAACAAATCGTTATATACATCCATACTTATTTGTATATTTGATGAGTCAGCAAGTAGACTCCATGCTTCTTTCTAAATCTCTCAAGAAGCTAGCAACTGTCAACTTCTAAATACCGTTTGACTCCGTAGTCGATGCTCAATGTTTGAAGGTCATCATTTACTAGTAAGTGAAAAGCATTCTACAAGACAGATGAATACCTTGATATCTTTTGCTCCGTTTCTAATGTTCGTTTGACTGACGGATTCCGATACCAGTTTACCTTCATACTCTGAGCCGAATATGTCCTCGCATTGTAACAGGGAGAAGCTGAAAGTACACATTAGCAAATGTGCATTATTCATAGCAATTAAAGCTTACTTTAAGTTAAATCTGTGCGAGAATGGGTTGTTCTCTTGTAAGTCGGATGTCTGGTAATACCCAAATTCTGTGCATGTTTGGTACGTCCAGAGGCGACCTAAAGTTGGTCTGAACTTTTTGGTCCAAAACAGAAGTAGTCAATATCAACAGCCAATTGATATTATATCCTGAAGTTGATATGTACGATAACATGAGACCGACCTCCGGTTATTTGCTTGTCATTCAGATAAAAACTTATTTCCACATATTGCATTGCACCTTTTCTTCGCTCTCAGCAACGAGGCATTAAAATTGGGCGACGGATTACTTCCTTTGGAGACATTTAACTGTAAATGACGTATACAATAGCTATTGTTCGTTCACTGGCAGAAAACGTGTATTGTCTCAATACCGTACAACGACAGCTTGACTGAGGCACAATACTGGCAAACTTTCGTGTGAAGCGTAGCTCTTTTCTCAATCGAAATATTGAAAGGATTTTCAAACGCACATGAGGTTGGGGCTATCCTTTTATTTAATTCTAGCTGGAGAGTGTTATCGATGGATATGACAGAGCCAAGATAATTGAATTGATCAATCTCTTGAATCGCTTTACTTCCCTGCTCTACTTGTAGCTGTGCCGGATAGGTTTCTCCTAACCTCCCACTTACGGACGTTACGACAAAGGCTGGTTTTCACAGCTGTGTTGTATGCAGAAGCCGTCAGGTGACAGAGCGTGCTCTCCGTACTAATCACCAGGATCATATCATCTGCGTGCTCCAGATCAGCAAAACGTCTGATCGGGTATCTTGAACTGCTCCTTTCATTTAGAATGAAGCCTTCATCTTTTCTAGGGATAATACCGTTTCGAGGAAAAAAGTCGACAACGATATTGAATAGCGAAGAGAAACGCAAGTCTCTCTAGCGATCTTCATAGCTGATAGGAACAGCTCAGATAGCATTCTGTTTACCTTGGAGGCAAACATAGTTCCTGCGTATATCTCTTCCAAAATGGAAATGATATACTGAGGCATATCATGACATTTCAGGATTTTTTACATTGTCAGACGATGCAGTGAATCAAATGCAGCCTGAAAGTCGAGGAAGTTAGCATACCGAGGCATTGTAATCGTTGACGCTGTTCAGTGATCCAACTCAGATTGAAAATTTGATTCTGGCGGGATTTCTCACTCAGAAGTCTGTTTGATTTTGGCGAAGTCTCCCGTCAATTGCCTATCACAGCCTCTTCAAGATTATCTAAGAGATTAATTTCCCCGGAGTTGACAGTCATTTGATACCGTGATAAGTGGAACACTCGGTCACGTGACCCTTTGTACATATAGCGACTTACTTCACACTTCAGGAAAACGTTTGGAGGTTGACGTTTGATGAAATAGGGCAAAGAGCGTTTCTACTATTCCCGTTCCTCCATACTTATTAACTGTCGAGGAAGGAATTCAATCCAGCACCATGAAAGGAAGTGGGGCAGAAATCGCCGATGATGAAAGTACATGGAAGACCGACATTCTAACGGTTACAAGCTTTCCTTCCCTTCTGTTCTTCTCTCTGTGTTGTTCGTTGTTTTGGTTATCGCTCATAATGTGCTGAAACACATGTAGATGTTTGTTCCTTATCTGAAAGCACATCGTCAAGAGAAAGAAATCATACGCAACTCAGCATTGCTTAGGCTATCATGGTCAGAAACATATTGGCGGAGAACTGGCACTGAATCTCGGCAATGGATCGAACCTCTGCCTTCCTATAAGCCGTAAACTGATTAATCTAATTCCAAGTTGCAGTTCATGACATTAACACCTATACTGTTCTCTACGGCTTCACTGTGCTCGTACATAACGACACTGTCTCCCTAATCCTTTCAGATGTTTTCCTTTCAGATTTCTTCCACCCAAGAGGTGATAGCTTCAAGTACCGTTCTGAGAACGCGTCGACAAAGAGCTTGAGCGTAAATTGTTTGGTTTCTTTGTACACAACATCAGTTTTTAATAACCATCTTTAATTGCGTTGCATGCAACATATACTATTGCACTAATCGAAAAGGATTGGAGAACATGAATCAACGTCAAACAACCAACACCTTAAGGTGTTTAGTTAAGTTAGTCATGCTTTAAAAGGCTGCCTCAGACTAGATAAGGCATGGGTCACTGGGGTTCGATCGACGCAAAGTAGAGCCAAATCGCTATCCGAGAATGATCACGCACTATTGTGCATTCCAGTCAATCAGTGCCAAACTTTCAATGACGGCGTTCACCCAACTGTCGTATTAAATATAGGGACAGTTATTCTGAGCTTCTATTCTCGAAGTAAATGCACTGAACTCCACATTTGATTAAATATGTCATGGAACTCTTCCAAAATTTCAGTTCTTTCATATTTTATTAACTCTGAAGGAATTAAATCCACTCCGATGGCTTTCTTCACCATAAGATATAGCGAGGGTTTTTGATTTATAGCTTTTTTGGTGCATATGCACGTGCGTTTAACGCTGGCAGAAAATTAGCGATCAGAATGGGCGAATCTGGCGGACACCTGCGGAAAAGCCGCTGGAAATATTCGGTCATCCTTTGAAGAGTTACATCTGATTTTCCAATGAAATACCCTTGGAGTTTTGGTATGCAAGTCCGTTGCTTGCTGGACAACTGCCATACTCCTTTGAACATTGTTCTTCAGCAAGTTATTGTGATGACTACCACATTGATTTTTCTGGCTTTCACCTCCATTCGAAGACTCCCGTACCACCTGTAACGCTGGTCGATTGCGCGCAGGAGTTGGCGATGGGCTACATTCAATGATGCAGTAAGGTGTTATAAGGTATACAATTTAGTCTGTTTCCTCTGCACCAGTTCAATAATATTTTCCTCCTGATCCCAACTGCGTTTTTTTTGCCGAAGAAATGGTGCCTTCTCTGAAATGTTGGTAAATTTCATCAATGTTGTCACTTCGCAACTGCGCACTAAGGATAAGGCTAAAACAGCGCTGTACCGCAATTTATACATTCACTGCATAGCTTCGTCAAATTTTAGCCGGTGATGTGCTTCTCTGAAGCGACGTCGCTGGGGCACAGGATGGGAATGCATGAACTCCAGTTGTCAACGTTTTATCCTTTTGTTAAAGCGCTTCATATCGGCTGTGAATTTTGTCAGTGCAGACCCTTCTGAATCGAACCCGACAAGTGTGTTGCTGTTTATGCAGCTGAAGTCACTGTGGCTAGTTACAAAATTAGAAGCAACAGGAAAGATTAGTTTTTCCTCATGTCACCAAAGTCTCTCCATTGACCACCGCGCCAATCAACGCCGGATTACATCAGTTATTTCTGAAAGTGTGGAGCATCGACCGTGTACTAGGTCTCACTCGAAAGGAAGAAAGCGATTATTGATTACTGCGAATGCAACGGTTAGAAATTTGGGTGAGTGCAGATTAATATTATTGTCGTTAATTCCCGACCGGGTCTTCCCATCTGGCGTGGCCTGCTGGCAAAGGAAAATTCCATTCTCATCGATTCGTCGACCTCAGCGCTAGTATCGTGCCTCATTCCTCGGAATTAGGAACTTTCTTTCACTGTACTATCACTGTTATTTGAGTGTGCCTGCAAATGCGTACTTAAAAGACTCTTACTTTCCTTCACACTGACTTCTGCTTTTCTTGAGTGAATTTCGCCGTATAGTGTTGCAACTGCGATTTCGATTTTTGAATAGGTCATCTTGTGAAGTTTGAGAAAGAAGTTTACAGATAAGTTACAGATAAGTTTACAGATAAGTTTTAAATCAAGACGCGTGATCGCTCATTATTAAATAAACAACGCATTTTTTACTTGCCTGACGATTCATTGTAATCAGTTCTCCGGAGATCTTTAATCATTTCCGTATAGCTGCAGGGAAAGCAAGTTTCGTGGCTTTTGTCCAGCACATACCAGTTGGCGTTCGCGTACTGTTGCAAAACACCGCCCTTCATCTCTTTATTCACTTCATCACATACTTTATCGATAGTAAGAACTTCTGCTGACAATCCCTATAAAATACATGCACTGAGAATTAATCGACTGATTCATATGAAACGAAGTCTACTTTATCCTTCATTCAGAGAGTAGGCAGCAAAATAAAGGTAGCTTCGCATTTCTATTTCCCTTGGAGGTGTCCGTTAACGGTGACCCTGATCATTTCGATCATAACAATAAATTGGACCTGTTTATTTTCTGGACTGATTTGTCCAATGACCGATAAAAATCTTGGTCAGACCGTCATTGAAACTGTCACGTCAGTTCACCGCTTTTGGTAATGAGAAGTCTTGAAGGCTGCTGCAGTCCACTGAGCAGTAGAATAGATTTAACTTTGCTTCGATATAAGTGCGGTTTCCAAGTGCTGTGTG